AAAAAAAAGGGTGTTACCGGAATTCATAAACCATTGGTGTTGAGTCCTGTATTGTCCGAATTTTTGCATGCTGAAGAGGTGAGCATCGAATTATATTCGATTTATATTCGAATTATATTCTAATTATATTCGAATTATATTCAATTATATTCAATTATATTCGAATTATATTCAATTATATTCAATTATATTCGAATTATATTCAATTATATTCGAATTATATTCAATTATATTCAATTATATTCGAATTATTTAATTTTCATTAAACTTAGTTTATTTGTATTCATGTGCTTCTTATTTTTTATGATATTTAGCTTTCTCGTCTCGAAGTCGTGAAACGTCTATGGAAATATATCAAAGAAAATAGTCTTCAAGACCCAAATGATAAAAGATTCATTGTTTGTGATGAAAATTTGAAAAATATATTCAAACAAGATAGAATTCATAGCTTTACAATGAACAAGTATTTGACCGATCATCTGAAAAAGAAAGAAGATCTAGTTGATGGTGAAACTCTGAATGTTAGTAGTAATGGCAGTGATCACGTGGAACAAAGTAATGCAAGTAGTGCCGGCGATGACGAAACGCATAACGATAAGGTTTAAACCTAATCCGTTTTTTGAATTATGGCATTTATTACTTAGTTTTGGTTTGGAAATCGGATTTCTACTTCATTTTTTGAATAATTACAAAAATCTTAAATATTTTTTTTTTTCAGTCAATAGTGTAAAATTAATTAAATTTGTTAAATCAATGCTATTTTTATTTTCATTTTCAGAGGGTTTTTGCGATTAAGCAGGATATATTAATAAAATGTTACATTACAGTAGGTATAATAGTTGTATTAAATATATGCACAATAAAGTCAAAAATAATTATAAAAATAAAATTTTTTAACATTTAAATAAAATTTGAATTTTAATTATATAATAAACTTTTCGATTAAGTTTGGAATTCAAATAAAATGTGCCTAAATACGCACACCCTTACAGCAAATTACCGGAAATTGATAAAGAAAATGTAGATCGATTAAAAGACAAGTTGTTTTTAAAGTTTATTTCGTTTCTATTTAGTGCAACATATTTGGCAATCTAATTCATAAAAACTGGGTTGTTCTGTATATTTTTTTATACTAAGTTCTTAACAAGAACAAATAATTGGAGCATTTGTGTGGGCTTAAATGTTTCAAAAATCTTTACTACATAGATAATAAAGATTTGCTATTTATCACCACTGGTGATCATCACCAGTTTGCAATATTTCAAAAACGGGACTAAGAAACTGGACTAAGTAACAATGTGATTATAAAATTGCACTTTAACTCTAAAATTATATATGGTGATGAAAATCACTGGTGATATAAAGTAATTTTATAGATAATATATATACAATAAATTGTTTTTTTTATATTTTAATAAGTGGTTTATAGTGCAAAGATGCTGTATATTTAATTTTTAATACAAGCAAAATACTATATTAAAAAGTTAACTAATAATTTATTATAAAGTTATTAAATTTTATAATAAATTAAAAAAATTTATTAAAATATATTTTTTTTAATATAATAATTACTTGGTTTATATTTTTCAAGAAACTATCTACAAAAAATACTATAGTTATCTTATTTAAAAATATTATATAATTTTTTTTTAAATAATTTAAATCTAAAAATAAATCTAAAATTTATAATTTTTTAGTTTAGTATTTTTTTTACTTTTTTTTGTATTTTGAAGTTTTTAGATCTTTTATATCTTTTAAAAATCAAAGTTTTTATTTTTGCAAAGATTACTAATATAGTAATTTGGTCTCAATATGTTATTATACTAGTAAATAATTTATATTCTATTAAATTTGTTAGATAATATTCTGAGTTACTAGTATCATAATATAAAATAGATCTGCAATTTTTAACTATATATAATCTATAAATCAAATAATCATTTAACAGTATTAAACAAAGTTTCCTGCACCTATATCTGCTTACAAAGAGGTGCTATAGCCTTGAAAAATTTTAAAAATTTAGTAAATAGTTAGCCTAGATTGTGTATTTTTTTGTAATTTTTTAATTACTAGAAAAATTTTAGATAAAAGCTAAAGTTTTGAATAATTTTTATAAAAAATTAAAAAATTAATTGGATTTAATTAAAAATTAATAAAAAATCAGAATCATGTTTAAAAATTCTAAATGTTTAGTATATTAAAATTCAATAATTTTTATATTAATGCCAAAAAAATTTGACTTAATTTAATGAAATAGTTATTGAGAAATTAATTTTTAAAGTATAAATTTTAGATTTTTATCATTTGGTGCGAGTGCGTTGTGACGCATTCCATAAGATCTGGTGTAACTTGAAATCAAAACAAACCAACAACACATTAATTTAGGGTAAGGGTTAGCCCGAATGTAGGATTAGGTTAGATTGTAAGTAAATGTTGGTTATACCCAAAATT